GTGAGAGTGAGAGTGAGAGTGAGAGTGAGAGTGAGAGTGAGAGTGAGTGAGTGAGTGAGTGAGTGAAGGTCATCTGATCGAGAGCACAAAGTGCTGCGCCTGCGCTGAAATCTGCACTTCGAGGTTCACAAAGTACTGCGCCTGCCACGAAATCTGCACTTCGAGGTTCACCAAGTGCTGTGCCTGCCACGAAATCTGCACTTCGAGGCTCACAAAGTGCTATGCCGCTATGCCTGCCACAAAATCTGCATGTCGAGGTTCACAAACTGCTGTACATGCCACGAACTCTGCACGCCGAGGTTCGCAAAGTGCTGTGATTGTCAAGAAATCTGCACATCGAGGTTCACAAAGTGCTGTGCCTGCCACGAACTCTGCACGTCGAGGTTCACAAAGTGCTGCGCCCGTCACGAAATCTGCACTTCGAGGTTCACAGAGTGCTGCGCCTGTCACGAACTCTGCATGTCGAGGTTCACAAATTGCTGTACCTGCCACGAAATCTGCAAACGAGCCAGATGTCGAAAAGCTAAGATTCACTGCACCTGTCACGAAATCAGAGCGCCTCGAAGATCACCATGTCCAAAGCGCTGCACCCACCACGAAATCTGCACTTCGAAGCCAAGCCGCCCCGATCCCTTGCACCTGTCACGAAAAGTCGACTTTGGAGCACCAAAGCATGAGGTTTCCCTTGCGCCTGCCACGAAAAGTCACCATCATGTGCGAAAATACGCGCGGCACCACAACGAGAGCGCAGTCGCTACAAGCACCCGCCGCCGGCCCGCAGATTTCGCGAGCCTGCGAAGTCGAAATGCATGTGGACGATTTCAAGAGGTATGAACGTGCTGTAAAGCAACGAATTTAGCCGTTCACGCCCGCGCGCCCCAGCGATCTAAGCACAGCTGCTTTTCACTCACCGTAAGAACCCCCAAGTGTGTCCACACTGTTTGGGGAACAATGCAGAGAACATGCAACAAAGCTGTCCAAATGGTGGTATTGGAATGCATTGGTTGTAAGTACATGTCATTTCATGTCAACCCAACAAGTGTCTGACGCAATGTGGTTCGTGATGTGTAGTTTGTAAACTCGCTGCACAAAGAAGGCCCCCCCCTAACCAAACCTTCCATCTGTTCCTTGCTTAGTTTTCGGTGTCCTCAATGTTCCCAATCCGAAAAGTGCCACCTAGGTTTCACTGATTTTATGTGGGGAAGACCCATGGGTTTCGGGATGCCAATCACGCCCATCTCTATCTTCCTTCTTGTGAGAGGTCCGGAGTCTCGGACTCGCCCGTCCTCGGTGTCAAGCCAGCACTCCGGTGAGAGCAAAGGATGGTTGCTGGCCTTGGCCGCCGGCAGTGCATCGGCGCGCATCAATCGACCCATCGATCCTCGATCGTGTGATAACTGGTTCCAACTCCTCAGGTGCTCATGGATGCTCATTGGATGCTCGTTGGATGCTCTTGGGCTCCCGTTGTTTTTCCATGTTTTCTCTATTGGAGTTGTTCCCCTAGCCTTCAAAGACCATTGAAAAGAAAGGTTGACCTGGTTTTGGAGTGAAAATTCCTTAGTAAAGCCGCAGGCCATGGATGTTTATGCGCCTGGGTTTAATTGGCACAGCAAACCGATCACTGTCACCATCTGTGACCAAACAAGTTTGTGTGCATCAGCGTTCAACAAGGTGAGTCCAGCAACATTAACGGTTTCCAACACTTCAGAACCTGGCTTCCTAGACCCTCCTCTCGGTTTATCGCTTTCCTCCGTTTTCCTTTGAAACGGCAGGCAAACCCCTTCCCGATCAATCAGTCTCAGTCTATAGAGTCGTACCTGTTCCAAATCGGGTCAATTCCCATTTACGTTCGGGTACGAATGAGACCTCGGGGCCAGGTACGACTGGGAGCTCCAACGTGGTAGCTGTCCCAGCTCAGGTCCAGGTATACTTTCCGGGTGTGAGTCTGAGAGGTGAGTGAGTGAGTGTGAATGAGTTTCGGTACGAAACCCAAGAAATGGCCCAGTAACTCGAGCGAAGAAAAAGGACATCAAAATAGATGGTCCTGGACCCTTCGTCTACTCTTGATGTCTCTTGATTATATGACCCCACCCCACTCCTCCCACACATGGAGTGTAAAACCTCTATATAGCCAGGCTTTTGTAGGGTTGAAATCTATTCAATGAGTCAAAGAACCAGGAGAATTGAAGGGTATCGTTTCGACCCCAAAACGGTGTGGTTGGAAATGGTGTCCGTCTCAGCCCCGTCTCAGGTCCGTCTCAGGGCTCGTCTCCACCACGACGGCTCCGCGCGCGACGGCTCAACGGCCCGCCGTTCGCGGTGGTTCCGGCTGCGGTCGAGCAGCTGGACGGAGTTCATGGCCAGACGGGACGGGGCTGGTCAGGCAGGTCGTTGCCGGGTGCCGGGTGCAAGTATTATATATATATATATATATTATATAGAATTATATATATATATTTATTTATATCAAGTACTTGGGTAAAGTCCCTTTTCATCATGCAAAAATGATCCCAGGATCACATCGATACATCGATCCACATCTGCTCCTGTGGGTCGGGTGGTGTGTGGAGACACAGCCTGATGAAGCCGATTTCGTGAGGGTCCCACCTTCGAGAAGGATGTTCTTGGATCCCTATAGGCCTTAGGGTTGAGAGACTAGACATGTCAGGCTTTCTGTGGAGGGTGCAACTCGTGGTCTATTAGCAGGGGGTTCTGGTGATGCTGAGACTGAGAATGTAGAAGAATTGCTTGGTGCAAGGACAGGTACCTGTCAATAGGCGGTTCACTCGAATTGTAGAATCACTGAGGTGTTCAGCGTCTGGCAGAGCTTTGAACAAAGCTCCAGACCATCCATGCCATCCATGTGTACTTTTACTAAGTTTACATATGTTTTACCTCATTATCCAAATAGCCCAGATCTATCAGTATTTATATTATAATATAATCCAGTTGCAACTTCTGAGTGGGCCACATCGAGTAGATGCTGCGGATGATGAGCAAATCACAACATGTGGATCTTCAACCACTGCCCCAAGATGTCCAAAGCATTACCATACATGCCACTTGCCGGAGATATTCCCCATAGGCTCCCAAAGCATTCAGAGAATGTACTGATACACTGGTACACACAAAAGAAAACATAACACATCCGGCCGATGGCCCAAGTCTTCGTCCAGTCTCTCCGTCGTCTGGAGTCTTCGTGAAATGGACTCCCCCAACATCCGAGTCTCATTAGGTGTCATATGACATCGCGAGGAGATCCGGAGTTTTCCTGATCTTTCACCACATCGACTGCTCGCGTACTCTTCTCGCTGCTCGCGTGAGCTGCGCGCCCCAGCAACATCGCCCCCAAGGTGTTCGGACGCCCACCTCCACGAGGGCTCTCACCGCACGGTCGCCCAGCTCATGATTCGCCAGGCTAATCTGACGCATGAACCTGGTGTGCGAGTGTGGCAGTGGGTGCATGGCAGTGCGGCCGCAGCGAAGAGTGTGGCAGTGGGCCTAGCCCCGGCCACCCTGGAGCAATCATAATCAAAACATCTGAGAACTACCCCAGAGAGGGAACCGGATGGATGAAAAGAGTCTGTTTGCTTTGGGGTAGGTGTGCTTGGTCTGCGCTTGATGTGTGGGAGGTCGCAAGCGGTGAAAGATTGTCCATTTGCGGCAGCCTCATGAGTAGATTTCTGATGTTTCTTCTCTCTTGATTCAGGTTTGTGGCACTTTCCTTGCTCAGAACTAAGAGTATTTGTAAATGTGTTTGCTGTGTGTTTTCCAGAGGACATTGAAATATATGTTTTTCTTGCATCAAAGCTTGACTAGGGTTTAGGGCAAATCAGGTCAACGTATGGAGGTGGTGAACAGTGTGGCATTATGGCAGTAGGTGGCAGTGCCACACCATCTTTGTGACAGTTGCTCAGCAGTGTCTGTCACCAATGTGCCTAACATGATTTTATCTGTATTACAACGGTGTCATGACATCAATTAACGTAGAACCTTATAATATCGATTCGATTGTATGTAGTTTGTTTATGTGTGTAGTGTGCTTGAAAACTTGTGACTTCTCCTACTTTTACTCCATTTCCACTCTCATATACTCTAACCACCACGTCGCATGTGAGGTGGAAGTCACATGGAAGTTAGATGCTCGGCACACCACCCGAGTCGAGGGGTGGGACAACATTTCTGAGTCAAGTGAGGAGCCACCTGGGTCATTCCTCAGATATTGCATACAATGGCAGAAAAACCCATGACCAGTGACATCCAAGAGGTGCTTCACCGCTTTGGTCGTTTCAGGCTGCTCCAAGAGCTCCATCCATGCTTCAAACCCCCTCTACTTCCTTTTTAGGCCTTGCAGCCGGGCACATGGGTCAAGCGAGTGGCGCTTCGTCCCCCGTCTTCACCCAGTTCTTCACCCAGCCTTTTTGCTCAAAAAAGAACATGTCGTGCTGGGTCCAGATCGACTCAACAGGCATGGAAGATCAAACTCACTCAGAACTGGCCACTTGGTAGTGCAAACGTCGTGGGCGGGAAGCAGGGCGGGAGCTGGGCCTCCAAACCTCCACGTGGAGAGTGAGACCTTCGGTGTTGAAGCGATACCCAGGTAACCCATCTCCTCATCATGGACGTGCTGGACTTACACTCCCAAGTCAACTCACCTGTCCGGCCCCCTGGAAGGTGGTTTTCCTCTACGAACCAGTGGTTTTCAGGGTCCATGTTAGTCTTCCAGAGTGTACTCATCGAGTCTCGGGCTCCGGGCAGTGGAGCCTGTGGTGCCAACCGTAAGCTTGCCTGGGAGGCGAGTTGGGTGGACGGGGAGTCAGCTGTGCACGAGGGGTGTCTTTCCTGCTTTTGAGACCTTTATACCTAGACAGCTCAATGCTGAAGATATGCAATGATCATCAAGTTCAATTTATCATGTATCATTCGTTCAAAGAGTCTGAGAGAGAGAGAGAGGGAAAAAAAAAGGGACAAAGACTCTCACATGGGCACCCAGGCCAGCAGCCGCTGAGCCAAGCGCTTCCCGGAATGGACTCGTTTTTGGAGGGGGTTCTTTCGGCCATGCCCTGAATTGGCACGTGTGGGATGCCGACATGACCGTCAGACGGGGCTGCAGCTCAGCTGTCTGTGGACGGAGTCCGAGCTATTTCTAGAATCCTCAGAAGCTGTTTCCTCAAAAATGCTGAAATCCACCCCTCACCTGATCAGATCTGGCCTCTCGCCTGGTCATGGATAGGAATGGAGGGGGTGGCGACCCCTCAGGGACAGCCAAGTCCCTTCCTCCAGTGAAGCTGGCAACGTCTAATGTCGAGTGAAGATCTGTTATCCCTAGGGCTCCTGGCCCACCTCAGAAGGTAGTTAGACCCCCTACTCCACCCCAACCACCTTCTCAGGAAGTAGTTCAAGCCGTAGGGTACTTTGTACGGTATATGTCGAAGATCGGATGTTGGACCTGAACACCTTGGATAGCCTTGTCGATGGCCTGAACATGACCTCCCCAACGACGACCAAGGCCGGTGCCCGAAAGCGGGGCACTTCGTCCTTCAACCTCGGTGGCCATCGTGCAGCTCCCGTCAGCCTTGTAGCGTCCTAGTAGCGATGCCAGGAGCCCCGAACGTAGCGTCCTTGCTCCGTTCGTAGTACGGCCAGGAGCTCCTAGTAGCTTCTGGTTACTAGTAGCAAGAACAACTCAAAAGGGACAAGTTCTGGCTTCAGTGCAGCTTGCTGCAGCTATGACAATTTAAGACACACACGAAGATGGACACCTTGCATGCTGCATGTCTATCCTTGTCCCTGCCGAAGAGTCTCAACTCAAACTCACCCACTATTGTCTGGGTGTTTAGCTTTTGACCCATCCGCCCACTACTGCGTTCGGGGGGGGCATCACTCTGTTGGTCCATCACCCTCCGAATCGAAGTCTTGAGAAAAATTGACCTTAAGCCTTTTAGATGGCCTTAGGCCTCCTAGGACCCCCATTTGAACCATCTGGGGCCCCGTGCTCTCCAAACTTCTTGCATGCTGTGCGGTCATCGATCTTACCTGCCATGCGCGTCGGCTTCTCGGTCGCCGACCCGCGTCCGTTGCTTCTCGGTTCCAAAGAGTCCAGGCAAACGAAGGCCAAAAGGACAGGAAGGGAGTGGGACATCGTCTAACTCCCTAGCGCTGACCTAGACCTAGATGGCGGCAATGACCATCTTGCAGAACGAAACGATGTTTGGTCCCCCAAGTCACCGCCGTGCTGTGCGTCCGTTGTTCTCGTTTGGCACCCGATTGGAAGCCCGGTTTGAGCGAAGCCGGAAAAGAACGAACACGAAGCCGAAGATGAAACCTGGACCAGAAACCCCCTTAAGCTATCCCTTTGTTTGGAGTATGATGCGCCAAAAAAAGACAAACAAGACCGGATGTCCCTTAATCTTAATTCGCCTCCGTATACGCCAAGGGGCGATCGTTTCCAACAACAACAAAAAGGCTCTGGTCTGGAAGTCTGCACCGAGTGACGGCCGAGGGTGGAAACACCATGCCCAATCCCTGAAAAGTGGCTATTCTGCTGCTCTGAAGCACTGGAACGCCATAGAACGCCTGCCTTCTGTCTGTTTGGGTGGCTCCCTTCTGGATGAAACATTCCTTTTATCCTGCTAGGGGTGAACCCTTGAAAACGCATGATGAAAGAGATGAGCCAAGAGTAGCAGGCTATAAGTTTGGAGGGTCTTCAGAAGGGATGCGTCAACAGACTGACCCTCTGTTGACGCACACAGCCACACCTTCTTATCAGAGGCAAAATGGTTCTGATGGAGAATGGTCACCCCTTAACCTCTAAGGGGCTGCTAATACACCGGACTGAGGGGACTCTGGTATGTATCCGTGTCCGAATCAAGCATAGATCGATGCTCTACTCCTGATTCTAGATCAGTCTCACCACCGCGCAGGTGGTCTTTTTCACCGTTCACTCCACGCAGGAGCAGATTGCCCTCATCGCTCTGTCCAACTTGTCGACCTTTGGTCGACTTGAACAGTTTCTGGGACTTGGACTCGACTTGACCGATGCCATCGGATTTTGGTTCCTAACGGGGCGGTCCATCGAACCATGCAGACGAAGAAAACAAACAAATAAATATATTATATGAATGTCAAGGGAACACAAATATGCAAAACAACTTGCGAAAACATGGCAAAACCATTTCACGAGAGAGGTCTTCCAAAATCCAATGACCCAATGTGCACCTTCTGACCCATTCACCAAGCCATGGACCACCCATCTACTGCGACACTCCGTCCTTGGTGCTGGCGAAACGAGCGAACGAACGAGCGATAACGCGCCGCGCCAAAGGGGTCCAAAATGGTCGGTCAGATCACTGAAAATCAGAAGTCGACTTGTCGACCCCCAGCCCTCTCAGCGATCGTCTGGTTGTATAACAACTACCCTTCCAACTTCCTCTGACTCTATAAATGACTCCCCAGCCAATCGAGTCCCTATAGACTAATTCCTAGAGAAATTCGAATCAATTGGGTGCCCAAATGCACCAATAGAAGGATTCAAAGCTCAAAATGGGCTGGTTTGGGGGTTAACAGTTCAATTCTCCTGATCTTCCTGTTTGGATAGTCAAACTGGAGTACTCATGCTGCACATCCGAAAATGGGTCTGTCTTTTCATGACCCGAACTGGGACAGGGCTTCTGATTTCATGGATCAGACCTGCAGTGGGATGGTCTCAGATGGGTCGGTTCACACCGAAAAAAGAAGGCCTCAAAACCTAGCGACGGGTCGACCTGTCTCGAACGTCCTGAAGAACCAAATGTAACATTAACATGACACAACTGTCCAACAAAAAAGGGTCATAGGCACCGGTCACTACTCCCACCCAGCTGCCCAGCCTCACCAACCCCCAAACAGAAAACATCGACATGGGAGCTGATGCGTGAGAGCTTTGGAGACATGGCGTCGGGCAAAACAAAGTGCGGGACTCTGTGTGCAAGTTGGTTTTGGTAGATGAACGATCTCTAGCAGGCAAGGGCTGGTTATCGACTGGCAAGTCACGTAAACACATGGTCAAAGGGGTCATGTAGAACCACCTGGCCTATATAACAGGGTTGGTGCTGGTCAATACTGGTTACATCATGTCACATCTCTTCTTGCAGTTTCCAAATGGATAGCTGTGGCCCAGTCACGTGACACGCTTCATCTTCCGCCAAGAATCAAATGCCGATCCCGCGTGCCACCTTCGCGTCGGTCTAGGCAGTGACGAGCACGCTCAGACCCGAGTCCCCCAGCGCCAAGCTCTTCAACGAACCGTCCATATCCAGACCTGAGGCAAAACCGGCTGAGGCATGGGGCGAGGCCAGATGATGGTCCTTTTTTCTTCGTGTCCTCACGACTTGGACGGTGAAATCCTGAAGGATTTCTGTATAAGTTGAACATCACGGGGTATCAAGAGGTGTCAAGTGTCAACCAAAAAAGTGTGAAGTGTTTTGTGATATGTTGTGCTTGGCAGATGTGGGAACCTTCCCCCCAATGATGTTCCTTTCCCATTCAAACCCTTTTGGCTTCGTGCCTGGGGCTTCGGGTGGTGGGCTGACGTCCGAAGACACCTGGAGACCCTCCCAGTTGGAGGGTGTTTGTTTCCTGGTGACCATTTCGGATCGGTGCCCAGGATTCAACCACCGGACTTGGTCGGGTCCAACCACCGGACTTGGGTCCTGGTTCTTCGACTCATTGATTGGAGTTCAACACCAAAAAAGCCTGGCTAGAGGTGTTCCATTCCATGTCTGGGAGGGGGACTTTGATGTATACCTTTGTATCGTGTTAATTATAGTTATATATATAATATAGAGATATATAGAGTCTATGAATGAAGGCTCCAGGACCATCCTTTTCTTCGCTCCAGTTGCTTTCGTAACTCACCTCTCACCTCTCAGGTCCGAAAGGGAGAAACCGACGAAGCCTTCGCTGGAAGAACGACCAGGAGCTCCGTTCCGAAGCTTTCGATTCATTCGGACTGTGCCAGCCATGGACTGGGGTAGACGGTCCCACCCGAGCCTCCCTGTGCACTGATGGCCGTTGCTTTGGTTTTGGAAATCATGGCACGAAACTCCTGGGTGTCCCTGTAAAAGGGGCCACGAAACCCCACGAAACACCCAGCGCGAAACGAAGCCGGGTCTCATACCTCGTACCTGTTTCTACTAATTAGGGTCATGTGACTCATGTGTGTCATGTGCCATCTTCTGGGTACGAACTAGAGGGTGACGATCATCTGCCCTAAGAATCCTGGGACTCAACACCTTCGCAGGGGTCAACCCCCCGTATTATATGCCACGCTTGCCGTTTTTTCGGGCCCAGATTCTTAGCGTGGTGAGAATGCTTATCGTCTTGGTGCATGGTCAACTGATCAAGAAAACACTCTGTATGGCAGTACCTGCTGGCCTTGTGTGAAGCAGCACTGGCCTTGTCCCTGACTTCGATGGGATGCGGATGGCATCATATTCTATTGTTTACCACGGAAGGTGGTTTTAGTGGAGAATCTTCAGTAACATGGAACTGGAAGCAAATGGCATCTAGAAAAAAAAACAGATCGCGGAAGTGCTTGGGAGGATGGGACGTGGATGGCATCATATCACCACTGATTTCTGCCCAGCCACAGATGCGGTAGCTCTGGCCCACTGTGAGCTGCGACGCATCAATGGCCTGATTGGAGTCCGCAGCACTGTGTTCGACCGAACAAATGGTGTTGCGTGGACTTTGGTGAGGCTCACCCAAATACTCTATATATATATATATGTGCAATATAGATTCTTAGATAATATGATACATGCTGCATATATATATATGTATATACATAGGCCCTCGAGTTCGTACCCTAGAAAAGGGAGCATGACCCTCCAAGAAAAGCTGGTGCGACCGTACCCACTTAGCAGGTCTGTACGAGCAGGTCGACTCCAGGCCCCAGGTATATGCCCCTTTGAAACCACAGCAAGGTGGGTCAATATATGGATGTGTAATAGGGAGACTGCCTGACCCAATGGGTTTTGGTCTATTTCCCCTTTTCCAGGAGGTCGTTGCCTGGGAGGTCTCCTTCAATACACAACCATATGCTAGTTTCATGGAGTGTTTGGCTCAGTGACCCAATCAGCACACTTGCCAGTCCCATCTCTCACCAGGCCCGGATTTTGCGGAGCATCGATAGGGCTCTTTGCATGCAGTCACTCATGGGCGTTCAACGAAACCAGGTAAAAACCAGCGGAGGTTGAAGGCAACTCATTGACGATACCGTTTGAACATCTTGTGGAATTGTCTTGAAGAACACCTTGATTCTCTACCAGTTTCTTCCAGGCACAAACGGAGATAGACTGGACTCAATCAGACTTTGACTATGACATGTCAGTTGCTTCTTAGAGCAGTGCCATGTCACAAAACCCTTTGAAGGCCATTGAAGGCCCAGTTTGAGGTCACTTATTCTGGAAAAACAGTCACTTGCAAACTGTTGCCAACCCCAGGGTACCGAGGTTCTTTCCTTATTCCTCCACATCTTCTGACCAGATTATATCTGAGACTGGAGGAAGGATGCTCGTGATGTTAAGACTCCGGATGGTCTGAATGGTCTTAACTTCATGAGATCATTCTCTATAAGATCAACAGCCTCAAAACAAAGAGATGTTTACTAACCTCGAAGTCGGTAGCCTCAAAAACATCCAATTCCAGTGGAGGGTGCCTGCCTTCTCCACCTCTTCACCAGTCTGGAAGGAACCAAAAACATCCACTCTCCGGGACCCTCCCCATCTCACCATCCCGCAGACTGCGCTCCACTCCTTTCGTACCGACGCGCGGAAGTTCCCGCTCGGGCCCGCACTGCGGAGTACCACCCGTTGGGCTGTGCCAGTTGGTTGACAGGATCCACCCGGATCGGGACAGCGGCCGTGGAGCGCAAAGCGACCGCCCTGGAAGCGAAGCAGATGGCAGGGAAGCAAGGAGCTCTGTCCTTGAGGGAATGGAGGAGAAACCTCTTCGTACCTCAGAGAATGGGTACATTTGTATACCCCAGGGAATCC